ATGGTTAGCCAGCGTGGACCCCGAATAGTGAGTTATTGCATTGTGGATGTGAGCGATCTGTTGTGTCAGTTATGTGGAATAAGCTATGTTGTGTGAGCTCTGCAGTGGGAGTTTCACGATGTCAGTTATGTTGCGCAAGCTAAATGATGAACGCTATGCGGTGTAAGCTGTACGGTATGAGCTATGCAGTGTGAGCTATAGTGTGCAAGCGATGTGGTGCAAGTTAGGTTGTCTAAGTTATGCGATATGGGCTACCGTGCATGGGTAGGATGGTGTGACATTCGTACATGTTTGTGTATCTATATATTCATGGACATGTCTATATAAGGTCGAGGGTTTGGGGCCCTCCCGCCCAATGCTAATGCCATCGCCCCCCCCCCCACGCGCGATGCCCCCCCCCCCCCCCCCTGTGGGCGTGGGCGTGGCGTGGTAGCCCCCCCCCCCCCGTGGGAGTGGTGTGGGGTCCCCCCTGTGGGTGTGCGGTGGTTAGGGGTCCGCCTCAGCCAAGAGTCGGCGTCGCTGGCGCAGCCGCCGCCGCCGTCGTGTCGTCGTCGTCGTCGTCGTCGTCGTCGTCGTCGTCGTCGTCGTCGTCGTCGTCGTCGTAGGAAGAGGAAGAGGAGGGGAGGAGGAGGAGGAGGAGGACGAGGAGGACGAGGAGGACGAGGAGGAGGAGGAGGAGGAGGAGGAGGAGGAGGAGGAGGAGCAGCATTGGCATCGCATCGGCATATGCATCGCCGTCCCAGGCATGACGTAAAACTGCTGCACTCGTCCCAGGCATGACGCAAAACTACTACACTTGACGGAGGAGAGGTGCCCCACCGCAATGCTTAGCAACCGTAGTGTGGGAGGTTGGCCTCTTCCGATGAAGTCAAGTGCGCGGTCAATATGGCGTGCGCTGGCGGGTAACACCAGCTGGCGGAACATATTGCGTCGTCGGCACGACGAAAATTGCCTTATTCTGAGTGTGCCTAATTAGGGGAAGCTGACGCCATTGTTTTGTTTTTCTTTATGTTTTTGTTGGTTCTGTTTCGTACATGCGGCCCTCCGTTGTCACGTAGCGTTCGTGGCGTGCCGGTGCGCGCAACTGTTGTGTTGTTTCCGTGTGTCCTTGGTTTGCCCTGCTCTTCTTGGCAACGCTGCACAACGAAAACAGAGGAGGGAAGAAAGGAGGGCGGGGAGGAGGCAACAGGGCATGCGGAGAGGGGAGGAAGGGAGAGTGGCGGCTACATGGGGAGAGGAAGCGGGAGGGGGGAGCAAAGTAGGGAAGAGAGGGCCACAAACGAGGAGGGAGGGATGAAGAGGCGGATGGGGTGAGGAGGAAAAGGAACATCGTCGTCGACGGTGTCTTCACCGTCGTCGCCTCCTTCTGGGTGTGGCGATGTTCCGGTGCTTCAGGGAGCTGGAGCGGACGGTGTCTTCGTCGTCGTCGTCGTCGTTCCCTCCTCCTCCTCCTCCTCCTCCTCGTCATCTTCCTCGTCCTCTTCCTCCTCCTCCTCCTCCTCCTCCTCCTCCTCCTCCTCCTCCTCCTCCTCCTCCTCCTCCTCCCCCCCCCATCCCATCTGGGGGGGGGGCCCGAGGACCCTGGGACCCATCCCATCTGGGGGGGGGGCGTGGGCCCGGAGCCCACGATCCTATACGCACGTTGGTTTTAGACGTATCAGCTACGTGGTGCCAGCTAGGTACTGTAAGCCATGTGGGGTGAGCTAAGTTGTGTAAGCTATTTGGTGAAAGCTATGTGGTGTAAGCTATGTGGTGTCAAACAAGTATACACGCACAGGGCGTCCACGGGATGCCCACGAGCGAGCACGGGCGCCAACGCGGCGAATCTTCGGGACACCCACCCAGCGCACGGGGCGCCCACGAGGCGCTCACGAGCGGGCAGGGGCGACGCTTCGAGAAACCTACCCAGCGCACGGGGGGCCCAATAGGCGCCCATGAGCGGGCTCGGGCGTCAACGCGTACGAACACCCGGGGAACACATCCAATATCTTCTCTCTCTCTCTATATATATATGTATACATATAAACCAAAGTGAGGACCCAAATGCGTTTCGATCTAAAATCTAAAGGCGTCGTTTGGGGAATAGGAGTCGTTGGCAGGGCTGGGGGCGGAGGAGGACGAGGTCGGAGAGCGGGTAAAGGGGAGATGCCCTAATTGGAGCCAAAACATACACGTTATGACTACGACTCCCGTCGATTGTCGTCTTTGTCCTGAGGGTGTTTCTCCCCGTATTGTTTTTCCACAGGATGTCAACAGTTGTTGTCTGTTATGTTTTTTACAATCCAGCCGCTTCGGTCCTTCAAAATGGTGCTCCCGCTTCAGCGCTGGCCTCAGTTTAGGATCGGCACGTTGTTGTGCTCCATCGTTCAGAATGGCACTCTCATACCTTTGCGGGACTCTTCTCGGGATCCGAGTCGTTCCTTCGTATTGTTGCCCTCCTCCGCCTGTCCCTGGTCCTCCTGTTCCTCCCGCTCCTCGTAGTACAGATCGTGCTATTGCTGTTCATCCTCGTCCTCATCCTTGCTCCTCTTTTTCCTCCTGCTCATCCTCCTGCACATTCGCCACCTCCTCCTCCAATGTACGCATTCCCGATTCAAGTCCTTTTTGGAGTTCGTTGTCCACCATGGTACGCGCCCGCGGATACAGAAACAATCAGCGCCATGGGAAGGGATGGGTGGGAAGGGTGTGATGTCAGCTATGGCGCGAGCGCGCCTCTCCTGGCCCTGTCCCTTCTGGTACCCCCCTGGTCCGGGGCTCTGTAGCCACGTGGGACCCTTACCCCGACTTGGGAGCTGCTTCGTGACCGTCCTGGGAGCGCGAGTGGCATTGCCCTGGCTGGCTCGGGTGAGCGCTAGCCTGGGTCAGCCCATCCCCCGACGTCTGAGGAAGATGGAGGAGGAGGAGGACGAGGAGGAGAGTGCGGTGCAGAGGGTGAGGGTAAGTATGTCTTGGCATAGCTGTCCCCCTCCCCCCGATGGGCCTGTTCCAGGGTCTTCTGCAGGTCAGGGAACGGGGGCAGGCAGCGGGGGAGGATAAAGAGGCAGCGGCGTTGGCGGCGGGCGAGGAGGAGGAGGAGTAGGAGGAGGAGGAGGTGGAGGAGGAGAAGGCGGAGGAGAAGGCGGCGGCGGAGGTGGAGGATCTCGGGGATGAGGACGTCGCTGCGGCGGCGGAGGAAACTTTGGGAGAAGGAGGAGAAGGAGGAGGTGTTGCTCTCTGCAGGTCGTCAGTGAGAAGGAGGGAGGGGGGCGGAAGGGCAAGCTAGGCGCGCTCGTGTCATGTCTGACGTCCTACCCCTCCCTCCAATCCCTGACCATTGCGTAGACCCCCTCTCTATTCGCACAGTCGGATGTTGAAGAGGACTGCGATGCTCAAAGGGTACGCACTGCACATAGTTGCATAGCATTTCGTAACATGGCATCACATGGCGCAGGGGAGCACAGTAGAGCGTTGCATGACACAGCGTGGCGTGGAATTGCGTAGTCAAGCGTTGCCTATCATAGCATTGCGGCGCAAGGTGTGGCATCGCAGCTCAGTGCATCAACAGCCCTGCATGGCATGCCATGTTATGGCACGGTACAGTTTGTGTGTATTGTTATGTGTATCTGTATTATATAGATGTATATCATGTCTGGCATTGCGTCGCCCACCATTGCATGTCGCAGCCTTGCGGGGCAAGACATATAATCGCAAAGTAGCGGCATATGGCATCGCATTTGTTTGCACACCATGGTTGCATGAACGGTGCAGCTGGAAAACTATTGCCGAGGACAGGCAACTCAGATATCAAGCCAGCGTTGCAGCGGAAGCCACATATTGAATGAGCGAAAACGCGCACATGAGACGAGCGCTGCAGCGGAAGAACCGTGCTGAAGGACTGAGAATTTTCTCATACGAGCAGCGCCAAAACAGGAACATGATTTTGAAGGATCTAAGCACGACAATGAGGCGTGAACACTTGCATGTAAAAAGCAATACGCGGAGAGGGCGGGCTTCCGGACAGAGTCAGGGGAGAGAGGAGAGTAGTACCCATCATGTGCATGTGTGGAGGATGGGAAGTGTATGAAGCGGCAGAGGTAGGACGTGGTGGAGGATGGTCCTCTGTCTTGCCTGCCAGCGCAGAGGCCGACAGCGAGCCTTCCGCGAAGGCGCTTCCAGCCGACAGCCAGCCCGCGCGTGGCAGTTTTGCCTGTCGTCGTCGCCGTCGCCGCTGTCGTCGCCTTCGTCGCCGCCCTCGTTGTCGCCGTCGTCGTCGTCGTCGCCGTCGTTGTCGTCGTCGGCGTGGTCGAGGAGGAGGAGGAGGAGGAGGCGGAGAAGGAGGAGGAGGAGGATCTGAAGGAGGTGGAGGAGGGAGTTGAATAGCAGTAGGAGGAGGACGATGAGGATGGGAGGAGGAGGATGAGGATGAGGAGGAGGAGGAGGAGGAGGAGGAGGAGGAGGAGCGGATGGGAGGATGCTGGGGCCCGATGGGGAGAGGGATCAGAGGGGATGAAGCCGCGGCTGCCTCGGTCGGTAGGGCCACGCCGCAGAAGCGTACGCGCGGCCACGGCCGCGCCGGACCGCCCCAAAGCGTCGAAGAGAAGAAGCGAGATGAGGATGCTTGGGATGATGGGGAGGGGGAGCGAGGGAGGGAGTACCTGGCGCGCGGAGCGCGCCAGGGGCGGCGCTGGAGGCACCGCCAGGAGGGGCCAGCGCCGATGCAAGGGATTCGCGCGGACGTTTCTGTTCTTCCAGTTATCTAGGCCTCCCTAATGCGGTCTGATTGGATGGGATCGGTGGATCGGGCCCTCATCGCCGATGCATCGGGTATGCGACTCGATGTGGGGCCCGACTTTCTCCATGCTGGCGTCGCCGATGCATCGCCGACGTCGCCGATGCATCCTCGTTGTATCGGCGATGCGGCGCGATCCACCGACCCCATCTGCTTTGACCCCCCTTGGGAGGCCCCTAAGCAATGGCTGCTCTCCGTGCCGACATGCACCTGCCAGTTTTCGCGTGCGGCCATGGGGCTCGCAGGCTGGCCACCGCTGCTCGCCGCCGCGCTGGTGGCGCCCGGGCTGGGGCGGGCTGCAGCCAGGGGCGCGTACCAGTGCCTGGACAGCCCGAAGCTGTTGGCCACCACGCTGGTGGCACCACTCTCAAGCAGTGGCGAAGCGTCCTGCCCTGCCTTGGCGCCCACCAGAGGATGTTCTAAGATTGTTTTCGCGGTTTGCATGAGGAGTTAGAACTTTTCTGTCTGAGGCCGTCTTGTTCTAATACGTCCTCTCTCATGCTCTAAGAGCAGCGTTTTCATATACAAAACGTGACGATACCAAAGAACCGCCCCAATCATAGTCTTTGTAGGGCTATGGGGCTATATGGTTATGACCATAGGGCTATAGGTCTAGAGGGCTATAGGGCTATAGGCATAAAGGCATATAGACATATAGGGCTATAGGGCTATAGGGCTATATGGCTATGGGGCAATATGGCTGTAAGGCTATATGGCTATAGGGCTATAGGGCGATTGGGCTTTAGGGCTATAGTGCTATAGGGCTATAGTGCTACAGGGCTATAGGGCAATGAGGCTATAAGGCTATAGGGCTATAGGGCTATAGGGCTATAGGGCTACCGGGCACCGAGGCACCTGGGCACCCGGGCACCCGGGCACCTTGGCACCCGGGCGTGCCGCCGAAATCGGCGTCACCTAACCATATGAATCTGCTAGGACCCCTACAGAGGCAAGCTCTGATTGGGGAATTTGATTCTGGGCACATCGTGGTAGGCCTGTAGGAATGCAGAGACGGTCGGTTCCTGCTCAACACGCCTCCCAACCCAGCTCGCCGACGATATGTTTTCCGATGCGGGCGTGTTGTTCCTCGAGTTGGGCCCCCCTCGGCCCGTTATGGGGCCCTGGAGGCCATCAACGGTGGATTTGGCGCGACAAATTGCCTCCGTGGAAGGGGTGAGGGTACCGTCGCGGACACGCATGGAACAAATCCAATCGGAGGATGTCTGGGAAGTCAGCTGGGCATCGCGCAAGAGGGGGCAAGCCTGCGACCGCTTGCGGGCCCTACCCTGCGGGCCCGGTCGGCGATGGGGTATCGGACACCCGTGTCGGGCTCCTCTTGGTTGCGGGCGTCTTTCAGATTCTGAGCCCCCGCCATCGTTTCAGAAATCTGACTTGCAGGGTGAGCGCTCACACATGTGGTTACCAGCCAAGGCGAGGGTGGCGTCCTTCTGAGCTCTCAGACGCCCCCATTCCTGAGGAGGTTTTCTTGGATGACCAACAGGGAGGGGCAGGACCTTGATCATTTGAGAAGCACACCGAAAACAACTCCGCTGCCTGGGGGGTTGGACCCCTTCCCGGAGACTGGCTTCTCATATCGAGTCGTTTTGACAGTCCCAGGGCCCTGTGAGGGCCTCCAGAATCCGAGCTCTGGCAAAACTGCCCGTTTTTCATTATTTGGGTCTAGCGCGAGGAGGTTTGGATTGTGCGCGCCACCAGGTAGTTCCCGCCTCCAGAGCCAGCAACGCCACCAGAGACTTTGAGGTCCCGCCCATGCCGTCCAGCAGTGACAGCTTCGCCTACGCGCTCCGCAGCGCGTTCGTCGTCCTGCCGCGGCGGTGCGTTGAAGGCCTCGACCTGGAGCCGAACGTTGGGGACCTAGACGGTATTATCGACCAATGGATGGGTCGGTTTAGCGACCTTTGCGACAGCGATCTGTGTTCGAGCAGCCAACTGCGCGACAAGATGACCGTGGTGCTGAGAAACTGCACCCTCGGCTGGGCCATCTTCGCGCACGGCAGCGGCGGCTTCACCTTCGACAACCCGCGCTACACGTACATGATGGCCGCCGCGGGGTACGGCGTAGTCATCCCCGATTCCTTCGCGTCCGCTGAGCTCGGGCTCAGGTACAAGGCTCCGATTGAGAACCTGCCCGCGCACCTGAGGGCCCTCAACCGCGGCTCGGGCGAAGGCAGCTACTGGTGCGACAACAACGTCTACGAGGCGAGCTCCACCTGCCCGCCGGCCATGGAGAAGAGCTCGGCTGGTGCGACGTCGTACCCCCTCTGCTACAGCTCCGACGCGGCCGCCATCCTGTCCAGTACAGCAAGCTGGCGGCAGTACTACGAGAGGGTGTACGAGCTGCGCCGGAGGGAGCTCGACTACGTCGTGGAGCACATCTCGAGGAATTGAGGACTGCGTGATCATAACCTTTTTGACGGTCCGCGCGGATTTCTTGGATCTGTGTTCGCCCCCCTGGCGGCGCATCTGGCGCTGCCACTGGCGCGCTCCGCGCGCCTGGGAGGGGAATCTGGCGCAGGTCCAAGAAGTCCGTGCGTACCGCCGAAAGTTTATGTTCATGCCGTTTCTTCTTCCTTTGACGTGCCTGGCTGGATGGAGGAGTCTCCGAAGCTCTTCCTCGCGGGCGAGAGCGAGGGGGGCTTGGTGGCCGCGCGCTACTACCACCCCAGACTGGAGCCCCTGCTCCGGAGTGGGGGCAGGCTGGTGCTTCAGTGGAGCTGCGAGTGGTGCTACTACATCAGCTGCCCTGGCAATGCCCAGATCGGCGGCGGGCGCGCCGACGTCGAAGTGCCGGTGCTGAACGCCATCTCGCACGTGGACAGCTTCTTCGGGCCAGCGAACAATTCCGTGGCGTGGAAGGTCGCGAGCGCCCCCGGTGGCTACGGCGCGCGGCCGCCTACCGGCAACTGCCTGGCGCAGCTCAGGTCCCAGGGCGTCCGACACGGCTACGTGGTTAGCGACGTGGGCTCTCCGGGGAGCAAGACGGTACCAATGCCACTGCTCCTCGGACCTCTCTGGGGTGCGTTCTGACCAGAGTTTCGAGGAAAACCCATCCGTGGCGACGAGGTGTCTCCACGACATGCAGCGGAATCATGTGTCTTTGTGTCTTTCCCCTCCTGAGGCTCGGAGTACCACGGCCTCACCGAGACGAGCGGTAACCTCGTGCGCGCCCTGTTGTTCGGCTTCATGGCGGACCCCAGGTGAGGATGTAACTCTTGGGAGGTGAGATTCAGCATCGTCGCTAGTATATCCGTGGTCGAAAGCTGGCGCAATCCAGCATCATCCAGCTTAATCCTGCGCTGTCTGGCTTAATCCAGCCTTATCCTGAGCTTATTATCTGTTGATATAGCTTGAATGTGTTTTGACCGGTAATCCCAGCCCATCAGCCCACCCTCCTAGGTGGGAATCGGCCCTTCGAAATCCGAAAGGGCAGGCACATGTGATCAAATATGATCCCGTGTCGAGGGTTTACAGCCCCTCCCCAGACGGGATGGGTCCCAGGGTTCCACAGGACCCCTCCCGCAGATGGGATGGGGTGGGGGACGACAACGCCGACGCCGACGCTTTCGCCGACGTCGACGCAGACGCCGCCGCCGTCGACGTCGACGTCGACGTCGACGATGACGCGACGCAGAAGCCGACACCGTCTCCGAGACGCCGAGATGCTGCGACGCCGAGACGCCGAGGCGTCGAGACGCCGAGACGCCGAGATGCCGAGACGCCGAGACGCCGACGCCCCGGACGCCGACGCCGACGACGCCGACGCCGACGCTGACGCCGACGCCGACGCCGACGGACGCCGTCGTTGGCGCCGACCCTGGCGCCGACGACGACGGACGACGGACGACGACGACGACGACGACGACGACGAACCACTCAACACCCACAGGGGGAGGGGGGGGTGCACCGGCACCCTCCAACACGCCACGCCCACAGGGTCACGACCACAGGGGGGGGCGGAGGGGGGACCGATCCCATTCGCCAGGCTTCCGCGAGGCTCACGGGCGTACCCATCCAGCGGGGGGGGCTCTCGATCCCATATGCATTTGGAGAGGAGGGGGGGCACCCTGGATAGGTGGGTAAGTCGGCCAGTGGGGCCAAGGCCAAGCCAGTGAGGACAGGGATAGGTTAAACCATGCTCAAAGGTCGCCCTCCCTGCTCTCGCGGCTCCGCGACGAGGCTGGCCGTGGGTGCGCGGGCGAGTACGGGGTCGGCGGCGTGCGCTTCGCGGAGTGCTCCGAGCTGGGCCCCGGCGAGCTGGTGCCGGGCACGCAGATGCCCGAGTGCGTTTATGACGACTACGACTACCACCTGGAGCTCACCATGAAGAGAAGGGGGGGTCGCAAGAGGAAGAGGTAACGATACCGCTTCGCTTCCCTCGTCGCCACGGCTGGATTCGCCTAGAACTTCTGGTCAGAACGCGCCCCCTAAGGCATCCGGGGAGTACCAGACCCAGATCTCCGACGATAGATGATTTTCTCAATCTGGGCGTTTCCCCTCGATTCGGGACTCTGGGGCCCGTGAATCGGGCCCCGTGGCCATCAAACACGGATACGGGATGCAAAACGAACCCTAGGGAGAAGGGGTCGGGACCTTTGGAGCCGCACATTGACTGGGAGAGGAGTGTCGTCGACGACGTCGTGGTGCTTCTCGAGGGTTCCTGGGTTTGTGGGCGATGCTCGAGATTCCTTGGGCGTTTGTTTATTGGGTTTGTGGGCGCTTCTCGAGGTTTCCGTCGCCACGGTCGCCACGGCTGGGCGCGACTCGGAAGTCCCGCCAGGAGGGGCCCGCGGAGGGGCCCAGGGGAAAATGTCGAGCGGATTCCGGTCGGAGGATAAGGGCCCTCTGGGAAAGGGGCCCTGACGTGTGTTCGCCGCTTTCCCCCCTCTTGCACGCCGGCCAAGTAGCCTTTCGGTTGCCCCGAACTGTCACACGCTGGAGCGGACTGCCTCTGCCTCGCCGCCGACGGAAAAGCAAGTGTTCGCCGCTTTCGGCTTCTCTCTCGTGGCGAGGATGGGTCAGCCTGCACAAACATACCATGAGCTTCCAGAGGTCCATACGGATTCATTGTGTCGGCGCTGCCCTCCCCCCCGGCGCTGGCCTGAGAAGTCCGTGCGGAGCTCCGGAAGCTCCTTCTCGTGGTGGTGTTTCTTGTGCTGATCTCCTCACCCAGGCCTCCGACATTTTTGTTCGCATCGTTGACCATTGGAGGTT